GGAGATGGGCCCGGGCCGGCCCCGGGCACGCGGCCCCCGAGCTCTCCGCACCCCGCACCCCGCACCGGAGGTTTCCGCCCCACGGGGAGAGGAGCGCGGCGCGCACACACAACGCCTCTTAAAGGCTCCGCGAGAGGCTTTGGGTGGAATCGAGGACTTCGCCTCCCGCAACTTGGCGATGCCACGAAATCCGTCGCTCGCGCACCACCCGGGACTCCAGGCGCATCTTTGTGCCCACAATGCCAGAGAAAGAGAAAAGTTCCCCGGTTTCTTTGCAGAGGGGTAATGGGTGGCGGGGGGGCAGGAAGGTGCCGCGAACCGAGCTTGGAGGCATTTACCAAACGAAAGATTTGGTCAAATCCGGGTGCTGGTGGACCCTTCTCTTTATCAACTCTGATCACTTGCTTGGTTTTGAGGCTTATTTCTTTTTTCCCTTTTCGAGGAAAAAAAAGTCGTTTAGCGTCTATCTTTTCCTTGTGGGGTTAACATTTCACAGGTATGTGGCCTGACATTTTAATTGCTCAAATAAAGCTGCTCGGATGCTGAGAAGCCCAAGTAGACTTCATCTCATTGTCATGACGCAATTAAAATCAATTTTCCTCAACTTTATCCTCTCTCATTAGTTATAGCTAACTCACAAGCCAACGTCCTGCCACACACCCAATCGTGGAGAGAGGTGAATAGACCGTTCTGCCCGCTGATGGACAAGCGGAAGCAGCCTGCCAACCTCCCCTGTGCATACCCTCTGTACACACATGTAAGCGCACATGTATCAGATGCACATTTGTCATTGTACACAGACAAAGACTTCAGCGACTGTGCTTCTAGGTCATGGACCAGTTGAGTACGAACTTCATTGTTCCTCAAGTTCCTTTAAAGCATCCATATAGTCACTAAAACACAACCAGAAATTCTGCTCCAAATTGGGAATAATACCAAGTACAACTCACAAAAACCACACACAAGCCAATCTCAAGAGATTCACTGCAATAAGAACAACTTCATAGCCTGTGCCATTCTGCTCAATGTGCTAAAATCATCAACATGGATGTGTCTCTGAATTCCAGGGTGTTTGGTTTTAAACATCAAACATCTAGAATTGCCCCCACAGAATACACTATATTTCAACGCAGTAACCTTTCGGTTTGATTATGAGAAGTTAGTGAATTGTGATTATTCAACATTTATGGAACAAAATTTTGACGCCATCATACACATTTTTGCACCGAGAAAAGCTGTAAACTGGTAAGCCAGCCAGGTTTATGAACAATTAAAATATTTGACATAAAGCACGCTAAGCTTCAGGAAACATGGACACATGAAGGGTAAATTAATGACCACAGGAAAGCATCCTTGATAGCTCAAAAAAATCGACGAGATGAAAGATTTTTAAAAAACCATAAACCACACATATAACTGACCTGTGCTGGCGTGCACTTTGCATTCAGTACCCTTTACACACAGGCAGAATACAAGGTAGGTACTAAGTGAAGATGTAGACAGACAGGGGCTAGTTTTTAGGGAAGGAGGAACCCCCCCCCTTACACTTCATTCCTGAAAGCTTCTTAGCCCTCACCCCTTTTCCGCTGAAATCACGTATTTCACTAAAGCTGCAGGTGCTGGGATTATTTGAAAGTTGTAAAAAAAAAAAAAAAACAAAAACCCACAACCCAACTATAGTGGACACTGAACTATCATAAACCTGGTGTGTAATGAGATTGCCACAGAGAGAAGGCAGGCTGAGAATTTCAGGTTGATTAGAGACACAATATAACTTTCTCTTAAAGAGGACAGAAGGATGGAAAAGAAATCATTTCAGAGAAGGTTGTTTTTTTTTTTTTTCCTTGCCTTTCAACCCCTATGATTCAAGGGATTGCCTAATGCTACAAATGTCAGTAGATTAGGGGCAAACTCAACAAAGATGTGGCGGGGCTGTGTTGAAATAGGAAATCGAATGGGCATACCCATCTCAATTTCATAGAAGATGGGAATAATTGATTGTAGGGAATTCTTAATCTCGCCTCTTGAGTGCAGACACTTCCATAGCAAGATCACCTTCTACAGACATGAAGTGGGAAATTTTTGAGGAGGAAGAGCCTCCACAGTACACTTAGAGATTTTTGGTATTTGAAGTGCGCTCTGATGGTCTCAGATTTAAAATGAAGAATTTCCCAATCTCTTACAGAACTGAAGCCTGCTAAAGCACACGACCACAGGGCTGCCATGAAAGTCAGAGGTGTTTCACTCTGCATTTTAGGATTCATTCAGTTATGGGATGCTATCAAAAAAATCCAAATAAATAAATAAATAAATGACCCTATCAATTATAGTTAATTTTACTGCAGAGAAGAAGAGAAAGGACTGCAGACTGAGGAAAAAAAAAAAAAAAAAGAGGGGAAAATATTTTAAAATGTCTTTTTCAGAGATGCTCATTTCCCTTGAATAAACAGCTTTAAGACTAACAGATAAATATCAATATGTCGTTACTGTTAAAAAAAAAAATCCAGCCCAGTCTTTTATTGTAGATGTAAATTTATTTTAATGAGAGGAATGGCAAGCTTTAATTTAGCTGGAGAAAGTTGGAAAAACATTTGTTTTACTCTGGTGAAAAAAAAAAAAAGAAAAGAAAAGTAAACCCACCCAGGAATATGATTTTCTTGCAGAAAGTGGACTGATGGCTGTAATTCTCTCCAAATTAAATCACAATATGAATACAGACCCCAGCAAATGGCGAGTTTAACTCTGAACTCAGTAGAAACCAGTTCTGTCCACCAGGATTCATTGAATTCCTCCTTTCCCTCAATCTAGTCCGTGTGTGTTTTTCTCTTCCACCACACTGGAGCTCCATGAATAGGGAAAGGGGCTTCCATTGTGTCCCTCTGAACTTCCAAGTCAATGCAATTTTTAACCACTGGCTTGTGGTACTTTGAAAATCACCAGGGGCTGTCAGAGTTGGGTCCTCTGAAAAATTTACAGTGCTAAATCAGAGCATATGCTGGGAGGGAAAAAATTGCTTAAGACTGGAGCAAGTACAGTATCTGTCTGCCCCCTAGTGTAAGAGTCCTCGCTGCCTAAAATTCAACTTTAAAAGAAAAGGAGCTCTTAAAGGGAAACGACTTTGAGCTCACGTAGGCATAGGAGAATGAAACTTCTGTACATTTTAATCTGAATAATTCTTCAGGATTTAAAATTAATTGGCTCTAGCTTGGTTGGACCGGACTCGGATCTCGCCACCTCTGCGTTTCCCGAGTCACTGGCGGAGAGGTGATGGTTTTTTTTTTTTTTTTCCTTGAACTGGGTTTATGTGCGTCCCCCTCACCCCCTCCTCTCTTTTTCTTTCTCTGTCTCTGTCGTCTCTCTCGCTGGCTTTTTAAAAATGAGGAACCGTTCCTTGAACGTTCTGGACAGAGCACAGAATTGCTTCTTAAGTCAGCCCGACGCGGTTGCAATAGACAGCAAAAAGGTAAACGTTTGCCTGAAATCCGCACGCCAGCTCCACCACCCCGCCCGATGGTGAGTACCCTTCTCGTCGCGATTCTCCTCCTAGCTTTAACCGAGCGCTCGCCTCCCCGAGCCGCGGCCGAGGGCGCCGGGCAGAGCTTTCCTCCCTCCCTGCCTGGCTGGCTGTCAGTTGCACAAGGTTGCAAAATGAAGCGCAGAGGCAAATCGAACAGTAAATTCTGATACTTAGTGCGAGCCTCGCAGCTCCTTTGCTAGAAAACCGAGTCGTCTGTTGCTTGGAAAAAAAAAAAAAACACACGCTTATAGGACTGGCTTTTAGTTTTGCTCTATCGAAGGAAATGAGTTTGAGGAGACAGGACGAGGAGATGGGGAGGCACCGCAGTCTTTACGCTTCGGTTTAATCATATTTTGGCAGCTTTGCAATTGTATTTTCCCCCTCTTCCCCCCTCCACCACCTCTCCTATCACACACATGTAATAAAATATGGCAATGCATTGAATTGACTGCCCCCCCAAACCTCTGAAACCACAGTCCTAGGCATTTCATACACGTTAGCAAACCGATATTTTGAAAAGCCCCAAGTCATCCCCAGCCCCACACAGCACAAGGAGAAAAGTGAGAAAGGAGAGAGAGAGAAAAAAAATACTGTAAGTAAACATACCAAAACCATATTTGCCTTGTTCAAGGTCCCAAACCGCTTGCATCTTCCTTCTAAACTGGAATAACTCTCCTTTAGTTTGGCGGGTGAAATAAACGCTTTGTTGGCCCCCTGAAAAGATGTGTCTTTGATAATTAAAGAGAATCTCCTCCTCGGTGTTTATCTAAGCGATTGTGCAAACTGATAAAAAGTAGGCACTAGCCTGCAGGGAAAAAGAGGAAAGGTGAAGGGAGAAATCTTCCACCTCAAGGAAGTGCTTCCCCATGTATTAGGCGTTCTCAGCCTTGGAAAACCCTGCACACTAACTTTAGAGAGACGAGGTTTCAGGGAGCTTTGTACATAGCTGCTGAGGAATGCAAGCCTCGCCTTTAAGAAAAAAACCCCCAAACCGTAGGTAGGAGATGTCTGGAGTGATCCTTGTCTCTCATCTCATTCCTTAGAAGGAAGAGTGCGTTGTTACACCTTGTTTGGGGCTGGAAAGACGAGACTTTAAAAACACCCGTCCAATTGAAAAAAATCTCCCAACTTAATGAGTTTAGTCGGAGGCTGGAGCAAACGGCTCAGCCTCAGCAGAAAACCGCCAACAACTATAGGCGATATTGCAAAGCAAGACGACCCGAGGCACAGCCAAATTCCACTGTTTGGGGTCGAGAGGGATGGAGGCTAATCCTAAAGCAAGTTGGAAAAAAACAGAGGTGGGAGAGGAGGGGGAAAAAGCAGCAGCCTAGCAGACTGGCAGACAGGCTCCCCTCACCCTGGATCAAAGATAGAACTTGAAACAGGAGGGCAACATTTTTCCTAGGAATCCGTTGGAATCCTCATTTTCCTACTTTTAACTCGTGTCCCCCCAAGTGATTTTTCCCTCTCCCCTGCAGATGCCCCCCTTTTCCAGTCCCCATTCTAGAACTTTCCTGAGGAGGAAACCTATTTCTTTTGGGGGGAGGGGTTCCCAATTTCAAGTCTTCAAATAATGAATGCTTAATTAACCCCCTCCCTTCACCCACCCTCCCAAATGAAAAAAGGAAGCAGGAATACAGTAACTAGGCAAAATTGAGAATAAACTATGTTGCCTCTTGCAGTTTTAATACAGTTTTAACTAATGGATTTTTTTGTTTTAAGAGAAGAATAATGGGGAAACACGGATCTTTTATTTTAGGAAACTGTTATGGTAAGATGTATGTCAGACTTGACAAATGGAACTAACGCTCTTCGGCTGCTTCTTGTCCTTGTCTTAAACAGGAATTAAGTTAAACACAGTGCTGAATGTTAATTACATGTTTACTGGCTAATGAAAATTACAAATGGTTTTGCCACCTCAAACAATGATGAAAACTCTGAAGACACTGTAATTATATACTTTGAGGGAAATAACTCAGAATATTGATCGTAAGAAGTGTAAATCTTTTTTTAACTATTCATTAATACCATAAATATGGGCTACAGAAGTTTTTCCTTGTGGTTTGTCTCATCAGTTATATTGAGTGGATGGATGGTGAGGCTTCTCTGGGGAGGTGGTGAACTCATTCTCTTATAGAAGGAGGCCACTTGTGTAACTGGGGTGGGGTGCCACCTCCCTTCCGCCCCCGCCCCCTTTAACCCCGGCAGGAGGTCGAGGGATAGTTCAACAGGGGGGCTGGGCTCAGGGCAGGTGAAGGTGATCACTGCCCAGCCTCTCCCCTCCCCTGCCCTCCTCTCTCCTCTTCTCCCTCCTCCCTTCCCTGCCAGGTCTGATCGATGACCGCCTTCCCCAGCCTGGGCGCCTGTCGGATAACCTGGCATTCGGGTTCCTTATGGAGGACAACTCACCGCAACCCAGCGACGCTGCCCTGACAACTTAAGTTCCTTCCTTCAGAGGTGGCTAGGGCAGTTCATTGCAAGAGAAGAAGAAGAAGAAGAAGAAGAAGAAGAAAAAGAAGAAGAAGAAGAAGAAGAAGAAGAAGAAGAAGAAGAAGAAGAAAAAGAAGAAGAAGAAGAAGAAGAAGAAGAAGAAGAAGAAGAAGAAGAAGAAAAAGTTGAGGTGGAGGGGGTTATTGGGTAAGGTGGCTCAGGCGGCGGAACCAGAACCGGTTTCCCTGGGTTGGGAGTGGAGAAGTGTTTTGTTTTTTTGTTTTTTTTTGGTCTTGTTTTAACTTTGGCCTGAGTTGTAACTCTGCACTCTGCAGCGTGGCAGTCACTCCGATCTTGGGGGTCAAAGGTGAGGGCTGCACTAACCCTAAAAGGCTTGTCTGGCCTGGCCAGAAGGCCGAACGCGCAGAGGGGTGGGGGTGTCGTCAGCCATACCCCCTGGCGCTTCGGAGGGGGTGTCTGTGAAACCCACACGCGGGGGGCACAGAAAACCGAGAGCCGGTCTTAAGTGCAATATTGAGGATTTTTAAAAAGTGCCCTAGGCTTGTGGGACTGGAGTCCTCTTTTTCCCTGAGAATTCCCAAGGCGCTGGTCTTTGTCTTAGAAGGAATGGAGTTTCTGAATGGTGTGAAAGGGACAGAGAGGGTCGCTTCAAATCGATTTTACTTGTCCTTTCTGTCTTTTCGGATCAACGCCCTTCAATGGGCACAGAGGTGCTCTTTCAACCAAAAACTTGTGCTACATTTTCTGCCTGTATTGGTGCTAAATACAATAAGCACTGGGCAGATTTTTTTTCTTTGCTCTCCAAAGCAAGAAAGCACCCTAATTAAATTGTTTTATATGGACAGTCAAGACGGACCAATTAAGTATGCATTAGTATAAAGATATAGTCTGCAGATAAGGCAGTTTAGAGAATCAGGAGTAGGACAAAGGAGAGGGCGCTAGCTTTGGGGAGGGGTGCGCGGACCCAGCAAGGTCGCTCACCTTCCTCCCTGGGCCCGAGGGAACTGCAGAGTCCCGGGCCCCAGGTGAGAGGAGAGCAGGCCCGCTAACAGGTGGGCAACAGTGTTGAAGTCTTTCAGGCCCCAGCCGCGCCCCCGGCTCCCCCCCCCGGCCCCCCCCCCGGCGGAAGAATGGTGGAAACCCAGAGGCTTAGAAGCCCTTACATCTCCCTAATCGGACAATGTAGTCGTCCGAGGTGGCGGGTCCCGAAGGAGAGGCGAGTCCGGGTCGGGCCCACAGCCTGGGGTCCAGGTCCAGGGCGCGGCCTTGCAGTGAGCGTGCGCTCCCAGCGGAGGCTGGGAGGGCCGGGGGGACGTGGACATTGCCCCTGCGGAGCCCGCAGCCCTCTAGCACCCAAGGTCAGGGCAGGAGGCCCCCTTCCAACACATCCACGCCCAACGCTTTTTCGCTTTTAACGGGAGCTTCTCTGCGAGGAAAGTAAAGTTCCCACCCGACGCCCTCCGGCCCAAGGGGCGTCGAGGACCAGCCTCAGAAATAGGGGAATGACCGAGGGTCGGAGAAAAGGTAGCGAGAGTAGCTCCTTGTTCGGCGAATGGAGATGTGGGCCTCTCCACCCTCTCTCCGCCCTCTGAGGTGTGGGCGGGCAGAGTGCACCTCGCCCCGAAGGCGACGACCCCCAGAGCAGGGGCCTGGGCCTCCCCGCGTCGCGGCGCAGGGCTGTGATAGGTGGTCCCCGGGGCGCGGGGGCACGAGCGCAGAGCGCTGCCGCAGGAAGGGCGCGCGGGGCGCACAGGGCGCCCTTGGCCGAGGGCGGAGGGGGGTGGGAAGGAGAAGAGGCGAGAATTAGAGCCTGGGGAGGTGGCTGAATGTCAAAAGTAAAAAGGTTGAAAAGCCAATTTTCCCGGCGCGCTTTCGCCCCCTTTTGCTGGTTGCCGAGGCCGTAAATCAGCGGCGGGCGGCGAGGGCGGGAGGAGTCCTCTCGGCGGGCTCGGCGCGGCCCCGCCCGGACCGTGCGCACCTCCCGGTGGTCCCCGAATCGATCCGAAGCCTAGCTGAAGATGTCACCGCACTAAATATTTACTGATCACACACAAGTAGCCGGGGCTTGAATGATTTTCCTCTGTGAGGAGAGCGCAGAGAGAAGGGTAAATCATTTTATTAGTGTGGATAAAGCCCAGAGCACACTCCGGGCTGGAGTGTTTTAAGATGTGTCTTCAACAGGATGAAAAGAGTTAGGGAAATCGATACGGAGTGATTAGAAGCCCCCGGGGTGACGAAGGGGGCCCAGGCTTTCAGGGATTTGGCGAGGCTGAGAAGGGGGAGCAGCCCTCGAGGGGGGCGGCCGGACCACCGCCAGGGAGCTCCCGGGCGCAGGCCTCCGTGTCTCCCTACTCGACGGGAGACGCAAGGGCGCGGCCATCCGCAGGGAGTCCGCCGCGGCCCGCCTTGGCTTCTCCCGGCCGCCGCCCGGGAAGAGTTGCCCGGGCCGCCACGGGGCCAAGGGCTTGGGAGCCACGGGCTCCACGCTTAGGAGGGACAGTGGTCAGGTGGCCACCGGAGTGGAACGCAGGCCCGGCGCGGGGACGGTGGCAGGTCCCCCCACAGTAGTGCGGTCTCTCCAGGCAGCCTCCTGGAGTAAAGGTGTGACCCAAACGGGTTGTATTTTTCCGCCCCAGCCGCGACCCGCAGCATCTCCGAACTTTCTCCTTGATTTATCTCTGTCCTTTTTCTCCTTTGATGTTCCCAAAGAAGACGCAGCGGCCCAGCCCCGCTGGCTGCCTGTCCCTCCCACCCACCCAGTGTCTAGGGCGGCCGCCGGGTGGCGGAACCCGCTGCGGACCACAGGGCTAAGTGGATGCCAGGTTTGGGGCTCCTGGGCAGGTGGGAGGAAGTCTGAGGCCGACGAGGAAGGCAGGGGCAGGGTGACATACACCAGCGGAGCCCCCAGCGCGTCTCCGTGCTCTCCAGGGCGGGAAATTAGCTTTGGGGAGGAATCAAGCCACGCTCCAGCGATGGAAATCGGTCTGTGGCCCCCAAGGCTGGGTGCAAGAGCCTCAAGTGGCAGAGGGGCTAAGGCTTCCAGGGCTCGCTGAAGTTAGCAAGGCTTTGGGGGGAGGGGTTGCTGGGAGGGAGAGGAGACCTTCTCCCCAAACTCAAGCAGCAAAGTCCTGGCGTGAAAATGGCTTTTCACTTCTAGAAGCGGGAGTCTCGCTGGCTCCTGTGAACAAACCTCGAGGTTCGACACAGCTGCAAATAATCAAGAGGACACTAATTTTGGGGGGAATAGGAGGGGCGGAAGGTGAGGAAAGGGGAGAATCTCTTTCGTTTCTTCTTCCTTTTCCAGCACCGGACCTTTTCTTAAAAATCTGCTCTTTCTGAAGAAGCTGATAGATTATTTGTTTGTTTGTTTATCCCTCCTCCTCCCTCCACCCCCCAGATTGCTCGATTTTCTTGGCAGCCTGAGGAATTCAGTTCAGGTTGCCCTGCTTGGCCCCTCAACGCAACAGGAAATATAACTTCAGATCCAATTAACCGTTTTTTCAGAAGGGATTATTATTATTATTATTATTATTATTATTATTATGAATCCTAATGGATTGGAGCGATGTGTTCAGGTGTGAGGCGATTGGTGCCTCAAATTCCTTCCTTGATAATCCTCTAATTCCTGGGATGGCAGCTCTAGAGTATCGCTGACCTGAGGCTGTCACGAACCAGGTCTCCATTAGCCCTCCTTGGTCTTGGCCAGAGCGAAGGTTAACTACACTAATATACCAAAGGGGCTGTAGCAAAGAAGGAAGCAAGAAAGGGGAAGGAAGGGAAGAAGAGAGGAAG